TAATGGTTGACTCGTTTCACTGATAATTATATTTTGAGGAAATATTCAGTAAATACTGTCATTTTTCTAGATCCTTACGATGATTGTTTTCATTTTCCTTGTGTGAACTGTCAAAATAGTAATCGTTTCCAAAATATTCATAAAAGATATACGTATACGTTTCCTTTTCATCTTCATCTATCAATAATAATTAGACTTGATTTTACATATTAGACATATACAGTAAAACTTTTGGAATGATTCTCAATATATTTACTGTTCTATAATACTACATTTTCATAAACTCAAGGTTTCAACAAAATCAGTGAAGGTCTTGCACGCTTCTTATTAAATACTATGCTACAATAGTTCGCGCACAAACTAGCATAAAATCTAAAATAAAATATCTCAAGCGTTATTAAAACCTGTCGCGGTCGATGGTCGGTTTAAAAAGGAACAGGAAGCGATTAAAGCGTGCAATATTTTCCGGGACGCCCTAATACAATTTGCCCATCGCTGATAGATGCACGCAGCATCGCTTCGTCTCCCTCTGCATCGAAATTTCCCGTCAGGTTTGGTCACCGTCAAAGCGTTTAACTTCCGCTTGCAAAATTTCCGCGAGAGTTTCGTCCGCTGCGGATCCGCATAGTTCGCCGCCGACTGAAGTTTACCTCCGGTCGAAGTCTGGAATTAACGTTGCTATAAAGTTCCCGCAGGAGAATCCGATTACGCGGCGGTCGCAGGAAGCGTCGTCAGGATTTCCGTCGGAGTCCTTTCCGAAAATATAAGAGCCCGCCGCGTAATCGAGCCGCTGTTCCGACCCGCCGCGAGGACCTTTTTATTCCCCGTCCGACAAAAAGGAACACCGATAAGACCCATGAGCGACTCGTGCGTACGCGACAGAAACAAGAACTCGCAATTTCCACGGATAAAAATTTCAATATGGCCGCGGGGTAATCCGCGGGCATACAGAAACCCGGACCGGGCTGCTCGAGGCAAAGATTTCTTCGCGCGCTTTCAAACGAAGTTGTTCCCGCGGATTTGCAAACTTTCCGCGAGAGAATCCAGCCAGGATTTGCTATAAACTGCTCTCGATGCAAATCGATCGACCGACTCGGATTTCAGCTAGCATCGAGTTGCTATTCTTCGATCATCTTCACCAGACTATTCGAATATGTTACGCTTTTGTAATAACGCGCCTTTTCATCTCTACGAAATTTGAATATTCAACTATTCTATATTTATATGTTCATTTCAATTTCAATAATTGTGGTCCAGGATATGACGATATTCCTAACATGTTTTTTAAATCACGTAATTTTATTATGTCTAAAGTCTTATGGTTAATATTTAATATTAATCTTAATTCCTAAATCTACTAACTCAACGTCAATTTCAAACTTTGGACACTCAAAATGTCACGTCCTAAGATTATGGAAAAGTTAATTTCGTTTCGTTATTGGCAAATGGACTGTGACTAACCTTGTGGAGTATCATCATTACTTGACCAACTGTATGGATAAAGGCATGCACGTTGATACTGTTCACACTGACTTTTTTAAGACCTTTGATTCTATTAATCATTCAATCTTAATGTTCAAATTAAAGGCATTAGGAATAATGCTATATACTTTCTTGCAAATTATCCTTGCAACGTATTGTAAATTAATTTATTTTGTTAAAATTTTATAAGCGATAATGTTTGAATCCACATTTGTAGTTCCTTACATATTACATCTTTTGTACTAAAGGGTTTATTCCCGTTAATAAATGAATAATAATAATTTGTTATAATCCAGAGGAAACTATAAGCTCTGACAAATATATCTCGGTCATTTTTTTAAATACATAGCCCACCATATTGATTTACCAATTCTGAGTTTTGAAAATTTGTCTTCGAATTCGGTGGTCGAGAGCCAGTAAAACTACTGGGTACGAAATTGCAAAAATCGTAAAAAGCGTAGTGAATTTTGCTTACTTTGACCACCGGTGCCTCTGAAACTAATTTTCAACTAAAAAATGAGTCGCGACGTCTATCACGCGACAAGGTACCGCAAAAAATTTCGCGTCCAAAATGGCGAAACGAAAAACGAATGGAAAACGATTAAGACAAAGTTATTTCCGTAGACTCGCGAACTTCCGGCGAAAGAATCCAGAAAGAATTTATTATAAACTGCCCTCGATGTAAATCGATCGCGCGACTCGGCTTCGCTCGCTCCCGCGCGTTTTTTTCAGCGGCTTTTATATAAAGGGTAAATGGGGAATCGATTAAGCGAAACGAGAGGAATAAATGAACATTGACTTTAGAACTCTCTCTTACTCCCTCGCTGTCGCCTTTTTTCTCTCTGTGTTTCAGGTCACCGTGGTAATTTTTCATCCAGGAATTTCAAAGAACTAGCAATGCTCCCTTTTCATCTTCCTTCGAGAATTGAAAGATGAATGGAGTTTTTCAACGCTAACGCTGAAAGAGCAGCTTGGTAATTTTTCATCCGCGAATTTCGAAAACTGAGCAACGCTCTCGGTTATCGTTTTTCACCGGCGAACACTGGACAAAATAAGAATCACGAAACTCGGGTTAGTTAAGGTGCCCGTTGGGAAAATTTCATCGACAAATTTTCAAATTAAGTTCGCGTTCTGGTACATTTTTTAACGATCAAACGTTAGCCAGAGCATACAACACGTTTTAAATTTCGTTTGGCCGTTCGTACTAATTACAATGATCAATTATTCGCTGTCGATGCTGGATCGAGCGTTTTGAAAGACGTTGGTGACGTGGTATAAGAGCTTAGAGTCGCCAGAATTGGATTACAAGAGTTGAAAGTTGGTGGTATTAGATTACGCAAATAATTCCAAGAGTTTCCTGTCTTGAATCATATTAAAGACGACACATCGGTGTCGAATTACAAGTGTTGAGAGTTACCAGTATCGAGTTACAAGAGTTTAGAGTCACCAGCGTTGAATTAGATGACTCTAACCGAGTCTTTAATATCAACTCAGGTCTTGAGTAGCAGGAAGGTGTTGAAACTAAACTAGACGTCATCAATATTAGTGAATATTTAAATAACTATTCGAGCGCAAACGTTAATCCATTAAAAGACAGAACTAAAAGTAACCATCGACCCGATAATGTTGATAGAATTTTGAAATATCAGGATCAAACATGTGCACCGATAATCCGGCAACCCAGCTGCATGCGATCACAGTGGGGATTCCCAATGCGCAGCAGCCAAAGCTGCTTCATCAATTCCGAGTCAAAGTTTCATGAGAAATCCCACGAGGTTTTATCACGAACCACCGATAGAAAGATATAGAGCCCACCCACCGCCAGTCAAAGGTTTCGCGTTTCTCTTTCAGAACTCCCTATTTTCGCAGTAACAATTTCTGCTTACGAAGGGTATTACCGCGGCGCATAACTGCTACGCTATCAAAGGAGAATGGCGCGCTGAGAATTTCTGGGTTCATAGTTAACCTACTGCGTGTGCACACCCACAGCCCCACCGCCCAGCTTGCAAATCTTTGGAATTGTTCGCGTGACAAAAGCCATTGGTCTGCCAATGTTGTTACGAGAATAATTCTCGGTTCGTTGTTCCCGCAGACTCGCGAATCCTCTTTCGAGACTCTTTTCATCCTATCTTCCCTAGTTTGCAGTTTTAAAGCGTGCTTAAAAAATACATTCAATCCGTGGTATCTTATTTCACAATGTGCATCCTCGTTCATTACGCGTTTTCGGCTCTTTGTATTTGTAAAGCCACGGTGTACGTGAATTTACCTAACAATTAGAAATTAAATGAATAAATAACTGATATAGAAAAATAATTTTATAAAAGGCACTCTGTATTTCAAAGAATATTAATATGAGCGAGGATTTTATTGCTATTGGAGAAGCAGTTAGCGTTATCTTTATTTTTTTTCCGCCGCGAGTAAAACGCTGCATACAAGTGTCATTTGGAATTCCTCCCGCGTTAAAAGTTACTACTCCCCCGTGCGAAAGCTCGTAACGCTGTGACATTTTTCCACGATTTTCGTAAATCGACCATCCTTCGGCGCGAACCCGACTGACACAAGCTTAATGTGTTTTTCAAATATGCAACGGATTAATAAATCGATCCGGACACGTGAAATGGAATCCGAAATCAGGTTTTCAGAAATAAACGGCCGCCGAGTGAAAAAAAAAAATGTTACCGCGCCGAGTTTTTATCTCAAAATCGCTCTTGCGTACGAAGTGCATTCCGGTTGGCAATTTCTATCACTGGGAAAATCTATCGAACGAAAAGAAATTACAGGGAGACTGATGAAGCAACTCTGGAGTCTGGAGCACTGTTTTTCAACAATTATTCGTGTTGAAAAATACTGAGTTGCTTCAGTAGTTTCCTTGTATTTTCTTTTTATTCTTGTCAACTCTAGTCTCCAGAGTAGTCATTTTTCAACATCAACAGTTGTTGAGAAATACTACTCTAACTCTAGAGTGATTCAGCAGTCACTTCGTGTTTCTTCTCGTTCTTGTCTTGGATGAGTCAATGTTAAAAGATATGGATCAAATATTTCTTGCTACCAATACATTCCTCCAAAAATTTAGTAACCGATCAAGTATCATTTTAAACCTTTCGTTTATTTTCAAGTTAGTGTCTTGAGTATTCTGTGAAGGCAACATTTTAAAATCAACTTCACTTTGTTATTTAATTTTTCCATTTTCCTTTGATTGTAAAACCCTTTCCACGTCCTCTATTCAAGGTTCGCTCGAAACCCAACCCCGACTTATCCCACGTAATTCATTCGACCACTCCTATTCTCTTGGGTCCTGAATTCTGAGCCACTTTTCGCTGACCACGTTCTCTCGCGCACGCAAAATAGAACGTCTGTCTCGGAACGGCACACCTGTTACCGTTCACGGGAGCTGAAAACTTCGGTGTTCCACTTGTCATCGTTCTCACCACGAACGCTAATTGGTTAAAAGAAAAGGAGAAAAAGAACCGACGCGAGCGAAGAAGGGAGAACCGCAAAGAAAGGTGGTCGTCACTCACCGTATAGCCATACTCTTCGCTTTCAAGTGATGCCATCTTTGGTTCATCTCGTCCAGCCGACGTTGCAGCATAACGGCGTCATCTTGGCTGGCCAAAGAGCTCAACAATTTTCGTCCCGTGCCATTTAGGGACGCGTACACGTCTCGGTGTGTTTCTATCTCCGATTGGAGGTCCTGCAACAGAAAACGAAGTCGTTCTGGTGAATGAGAAAGCAAATATCGTCCTCCGCTTTACGACGATCCATTTTGCGTTTTTCAGAAATCAGAAAACATTTATTTAGAATATTAGTTTCCAGAAAAAAAAGTATTCGAAAATTAGAGTAACCAGAGCAACCACGCAATTTTCATTGACATTTATATTATACATTTTTTTAAGCCTTATTCCGTAAGAATAGATAATAAATTCTTTCTTTAAATTATATCTAGTTTCGCATATTATTGTTTTGAAAATGGATAAGGTATTTAAAAAGGTTCCTAGATCACCGGAACGCGACGACATCGATAGAATATCCTCTCCCTTCTCAGAATATTTTCCATCGAGAATTTCAAGAATTTGTGCAACGTTTTTCCGGGAAATTTCTCCGTAGAAATACGCAGAAAGTATTCTAGCGCAGGCGAGAGAACATTCACGGTGTTTCGTCATCGCGACGACGTGAATTGCAGCGAACGCTCGGGCCAAAAGTGATTTATGCCTGGTTTCCATGTACAGCGCCGCGGCGAATTTGGCGTCCCCGGGTGCGCCGTCGACCGTCAATGAAAATAAATCGAGGCCGGGCGCAAGTGAATTAAGAAATATTCGTCGCAAAATTGATCCTTCGCACATTTTCATTAACCAGAAAAATTCGACCACTGCGCAGGAAGGTTGGAGGTGCTCGTATTTCACGTTTTTCTATTTTTTTGAGTTTCACAAAACGCGGTGGAAATCTCCCAAGTAGCGTCTGTATTTTATGGTACATCCTGTACGTTTGATGGGGAGGAAAAAAAACAAGCGAAAATAGAGGGAAAATATTGCGGCGCGCAACGATGCAAGAAACTTGCTTCGAAAGCGCCGGTGCATCCATCAAAATGCTTTTCGTCGGAGTGCTCGTCGAAAGTGCGAATCGGTGACGTTTAATTGGAACGGCGGATATCTGTGTCGTGGACGATGAAGTTTGATGATCGACGTCAGATTTATCGTCGAACGAGTTGACGTACCCTTTTTGATTGCACCGCGACTGAAGACTACGGAGAAGTCTCAAGAAATCGTGACAGTATACAGAGAATCTGAGTTTCGTTCGTTTTAAATATGATTTATTTCATGGTGAAGTGCTTGGGTTGAAAAATGTGTAACAAAATACAGAATTCTAAGATCATTTTAGGGATTAGTCAAGTTGTGTCTGTTTTAAACAAATCTGATTTCAAATTTTACTAAAATATCTGTACAAATTTATATAATATTGTATTTAAAAACAGAAGTATGTGTGTACAACTTGGGTATATAAGAATTCATAAACTTTTATGAAACGAATGAAAAACCAACTGTTTACACTATTATACAGTTTGATTATGAATCGAGCGAATATTGAATGGAAAGTTACCCGAATAGATGTCAGTTGATAAACTAATTTAATTAAAAGTAAGTGATACCTTCTCGACGAGAGGCACGATATCTTTATTAACGAGAAACGATTCAATTTACCGATCGAAAAACGCTGGAACGGTTAATAGAATGACTTTAAAAACTGTATTGCGATCTCGAAATTCCATTCCGCTTCCTTTTATCGGCGTCTTTTAATTTTGCCAGGGGGAAAAAATTCCCGGGAAAAATAATCTCTCGTCTGCCAATCGGGCATCCGATCGCGCGATACCGATCGGTTCCCAAAGAGGACCGCGGCAGCGACTCGTCGTCTTAAAAGCGCACTTTCGATGCAGATTAGATTTTCCGGGGTTAATGAGTACCTACGAAGTGACCCAGTGGCTGGAACAGGAACGACGAAGGGAAGGAAGCGTTTAGAGAAAATTCGACGGCTAGATGGCCCGGAAAAAGTGTAAAACGTAAAGCGTTTTTCGTCGTTCGTCGATGCTCCCGTTCTTCTTATCGCGGTCGCTCGTGGCGCAATTACGCAAATGCGAGTTATCGACGGTGTGGCTCCAACGGCGTAGTACTTTACAGGTCTTTTTTATTTTTATATGTTTTTTTCCTACGTCGATAGATTTCCATCGCCCTCGGAATCGCGAGATCATTTCGTTCCAGGTCTCCCTCGCGTCGCGCTGAATATATATTAAAATACCCTAGAAAAAATTGTTTCGAGACTGTAATTTATTTAATTTTAGCAAAAATAATTTCAAATACGAGTTTCTCCGCATATGGGGTTGCATGACTTTTCACTTTGGAACTGATATAATTAATTCTCAAGCTGAAATGTCAAAGGAAGTACAAAATAGAATTCATGAATTTTAAGTTACCGAGAATAATTATTAAGACGAATTTTAAATTATGTGGTTTATAATTGTTTGAAATCAAAAAAGACGAAAAGAGAGAATCTTCAGAATACATACAATAAGACTAGAAGCGAATATTGAGAAAATTCATTTGCTATAAGAAAAGTCGTCATTTGACCGGTCGTGGTACAGGCATAATAAAGAGACCGTTCTAAAACTTAAAAGTGTTTGTGTTGTTAAAATAAAATTACAAGTTCTTGTTATTGCAAACACTCGTTTAATTTTTGCAACAAACCTGTGGTGTGACAATAAATCTTAGGAAAAAATCCAATAATAGGATTTTTTTTCATTAAAAACATTAGTTTTATTCTACGATACGATATAGGATGGTCACTGTAGGTTTAGTGTTAATATCGATAATATGAAGCAAAATTCACAGAACTTTTCCACACTGGATCGAACGTTTGAGAAAATAGTTCACGAACAACAAGAAATCCGAAATCCGTTGCAGACAGGAAAAACGCGAACGCCGTCAAAACGTGAGGTTTTCAATTATCCGTTGGTCGGGATCGCGCAAACAACGGTAATTAAATCAATTCCATGGGTGTTTGTGGCGCGTTCCGATGCAATTAAAGCCGCGGGGATCCTTACGCTCGAATCGAAGTTCAGCTTCGCCCCGCGGCAAGAGGAATATTACGTGTCTCGTCGCCTTGCTTTGCCTCGTCGCGCTAAGGACGTAATATTACGTCTCTCGGTGGAGACTGCTTTATTGCCCGACGGTATGGTTCCCGATAATATTACGAACACACGGTATACGTAATTGGCAAAGGAAAACGCGGTTGTGAGCTGCTCCGCGAATGATACCGTCGCGTTTCATTTATCATCGCGTGCACCTAACGAGCTGTGCTGCACCGAAACGCGACGGATGGCCGACATTGTTGGTTAATTAGAACTCTTAGCGGCCAACGCGCGACGTACCCATTGTCCGTCGATGCGGTTGCAAATCTCGCTAACGACGCATCCGATTCGAATATTTCAATCCACGCTTGATAAAATTTCGTTCCCGTAAACAGGGCCGTATCCGCGAGATTGGCAAAGACAGAATAGGCAAAAGTATTGTTTTCAACCTCGTTTTGCACGATACCTTTATAATAGCCTCATTTATTTATTTATACAAAAATTATAATCAATTTATTTTTCAAGATTTCGTAACGTAATCTTCTGTAATCGCAATTAATTTTTACTCGTTGTTGAGACCCAACACAGGTAGCCATAGAAGAGTCGCAGCGTCTCCATAAAACACTAATCATTACCTGTGATTTTGATTGATCAACATTTCCTGAAATGTTTAAACAACCCAGCCCCACCTCATCACCATCTCAGATCCACCCTCGTAACACAATCGACCAACCAGAATTCATACATTTCACCATTCATCAAACAGAACTCACTCAACCAGCACACGAAAATTACTTAACAGCATAGAGTAAAAACCATCAGCGAATCCAACCTTTGTGCAATTAGTTTATTATTTTCTTTGAAGTTTAAATAGTGTTAAAGAACTTTGAAACTGTGTCAACAAATCATCATCCTTCAAATCACATCCTAAAACACAGCAACACTTCGCACATTAATTTGTTGAGCAACTGATAGATCATCATCCTGCGTCGTAACAGATTCTTCTTCTTCTTTCAAAAAATAAGAGATCTTAGCCTAGTAAAACTTGGGTTTTTGTATTGAATTTGTATGCAAGAAATAAGAAAAGCACGAGAACTCCCTCAACCAGCATACGAAAATCACTTAACAGCATAGAGTAAAAAACGAATGACTGTCGTATACAAACGTCGAATAGGTAGACTGAAATGGATGTTTGGAAGCCCACATAAGCATTAATTTTATGAAAAGTAATGCAATGAACATATATGACATACGCAGTATGCAAAATAAATAATATAATTTTAAGGACCTCTAGTGATGAAACAAACTTCAGTAGAAAGACAAACAGTTTGTAGGGAATACGGAACACTACTAATTTACATTTTAATTTTCCAAGCCCAGAAATCGAATATAAAAATGAAGAATGTTGCTCAGGCGATCGCGAAGGGTTTCTTCCGACTCAAGTTCGGTAGACTGATCGATTTCACACGTAACGCGGAAATTTTAGGGTACACGAAGGAACGATCTTGCGATGGAATGGTAGGCATAATTCAAGGGGCTTCGTCTTTCGAACGGTTCGCTGTTCCACGTGACGTATTTAATCGGCGGTGTGCCGAGCTTAATCAATGTCTGACACTTACGCGGCCGCGCAGCCGGTGACGTGCATACCGTCGAGGATTTCTAATGAGGAATTGCCGATTACCCGTCGGTATACTGAGATTTCACGACGATTCCGCTCCGCTGCGCTTCCCTCAGACTCGTTCCCGATGGGACAAAGCCAGCGAATTTACGTGATCTATGGAAGATACGAGCCGAAAGGGATTCACTCGAAACGACGGGCTCCTTAACAGTTTGTCACGTCCCGAGTACGTTATTCGCGCGAATCCCTAGAAGTAATGTTCGACTATTTTTGGCGCTTTCGAGATTCCATTTTGAAAAGCGTCTGGAGAGACCAACCAAGATCTATGAATATCTAAGACGTTCGTTATCAAACTAATCCGTCGAAAACAAACTGAGAGTTTCTGCGAGCAATTACACACTGGTCGATTACAAATATGCGTTCTTCGTGTAATTAGTCAATTTAAGTCCCTATGGTT